CATGACTAACTCGAATATGATGGAGATACTGATTGCGCTCGGTAATTCTTAATTGAGATTCTGTGCAAGTGAACATGATAAGACTACTTCAAAAAAAACAGAACAAGCAATGCAGAAAGTCTGGATAAAAGATTATTGAGGGGCATTTATCCAAGTTGGTACATATGCGAGAAGTGCTTCTACTGGCCGGCTAACTGTAAAATCTTCCGGCAAGTGAATATTGTAAAGTCCTTGTTTGATAAACAACCAAATTGATACAGCACGACTTGGATATAAACACTGGAGTGTGCTAAAAATCTTAAACGTTAAGTCGATTGCATGGAGTACGCTTTCCACAACATAAATTGTCGCTTCATCAATTGTATCGTGGACGTAGACGTAGGCTGCTTCAATATTCTCCAGTTGTCCCACTATCACTGGCATTGGCTGCATCGACAGTCCCGCTGCCTGTAATACTAGTCTAAGTCTCTCCAAGGTTGGGATGACTTCGGCAGCAGTCTGAAAAAACCATTTACACACATACAAATCCCGAAATATTGATCTCTACACCACAATCTCGAAAAATTGCCATGATCACCACTAATACCTCAGCATGAACAATGATGGACTCTTGTCTCTCCTGGTATGAAAGTCTTCCTCCTGCCTGCGGCCTGCCCCTAATACGTGATATAGAGTGGGGTATCAGATATGGCAACAGATAAAAAACAATTGTATCGCGATTGTCTGAAAGTTGAAAAAAATGAGTAATCTCAGGATTTACTTGTTGTAATTATATGGAATACATTGACCAATTACTCACGAATTAATGCTTGTGGGGCAAGGTTCAAACACCTCTGATCATTGCCAGTTACTGCAGTACATTCCTGGAGTAAAGAAAGCATGTGAGGTCTCACTGTCTCCCATCGATCAAACAATTCATTACCTTTGCCGGTATGCAAAATCTCGAAATCTAACTGCAGCTGAAATTATTTAAAAAAAATTAAAATTATATCTTCAATAGAAAATTGAACTATTACTCACCAATTCAGCACCCTGAACAACTTTTAGGCAAGGGGAATCCTGGTAATACTGATTAATATTCCGATGGTTTGCTAGTCGTTGCGGACGTGCAGTGTATGATGCCACCCAATTTTTTCGTACGAGGTCCTCCGGGTCTAGATGCGTTTGCAACCATTCCAGTGCTTGGATTGTATTTGCAGCTATTACTGGGGGTCGAAATCTCGAAATCTAACTGCAGCTGAAATTATTTAAAAAAAATTAAAATTATATCTTCAATAGAAAATTGAACTATTACTCACTAATTCAGCACCCTGAACAACTTTTAGGCAAGGGGAATCCTGGTAATACTGATTAATATTCCGATGGTTTGCTAGTCGTTGCTGACGTGCAGTTATGATGCCACCCAATTTTTTCGTACGAGGTCCTCCGGGTCTAGATGCGTTTGGAACCATTCCAGTGCTTGGATTGCATTTGCAGCTATTACTGGGGGTCTTACAAGGCAAATTGAGGGCGACAACCCTCACATCCCATCGTATTGATGTTAACGGCCATCCTCCAATACGGCAGCGGCCGGACCACACAACTCCGGCGATCCGAGAGATTATGTGGAAGGAGGTCCAAGACATGCTAGAGAATGAGGTGATAGAACCATCGCAGAGCGAATGGTGTAATCCGATCGTCACGGTCAAAAAGCCCAATGGCAAGTATCGGTTTTGCATTGACTTCCGAAAAGCCAACGCGGTTACTAAAAAGGACGCGTATCCCATTCCTAACATGTCTGGAATCCTCGACGAACTTCGTCAGGCTAATTATATTATGACGCTTGACCTTAGCCAAGCGTATTTCCAGATCCCTCTGGATCCCGACTCTAGGGAAATTACGGCTTTCGTAGTCCCTGGTCGTGGCACGTACCATTTTCTTCGTATGCCATATGGCTTAATGAATGCTCCGGCCACGTTTCAACGTCTATTAGACCGGCTGATTGGCCAGGATTTATATCCCAAGGTTTTCTTCTACCTAGACGATATCATTATTGTTTCGAAAACCTTTGAAGAACATCTCGTTTATCTCCAGAAAGTGCTCGATAGAATCAAGGCCGCGGGCCTCACGATTAATCGAGAGAAAAGTGACTTTTGTTGTCCCGTGGTCAAATACCTGAGGTTTATTGTTAATAGCTCCGGTCTCCAAGTAGATCCGCCCAAAATGGCCCCTGTTCTCGAGTTTCCTCCTTCGAGAAACTTGAAGCAGTTGAGGCCCTCCCTCGGTATGGCGTCTTGGTATCGTAGGTTTATCCCGCAGTTCGCCACCATTGTGGAGTCTCTCACCCATTTAACTCGCAAAGGACAGACGTGGGAATGGGCCGAAGCCCAAACATCTCTTTCAACGGTTTGAAGGCGCATCTAACGTCTCCACCGACGTTGGCTTGTCCCGATTATGGGATTCCGTTCTCTCCAGACCGATGCCAGCACGGTAGTTCTCGGCGCCGTGTTATCTCAAGTTATTATCGGCAAGGAACGAGTTATCGCTTACGCAAGTAGAGCGCTTACTTCCACTGAAAAAAAAATATTCAGTTACCGGATTGGAGTGTCTCGCGGTCATTTGGTCTATCGCCAAATTCCGATGTTACGTAGAGGGTTATGCCTTCACGGTAATTACGGATCACAGTAGCTTGCGCTGGTTACACAACTGGCGTAATCCTACCGGTCGACTGGCTCGATGGGCTCTCGGCCTGCTCGAATTTAATTTTCATATTATTCATTGGAAAGGTGCCTTACACCACGTTCCCAATGCTCTATCCCGCGCACCCGAAGGTGAAAGCGAGGACTCCGAGACGACCCATGTCGCTCGGCCATCCACCGACCGATGGTACTCACGCAAGTACCGGAACGTACGGCGTGCTACCAACTTCTTCTCCGATTGGAAGGTCGTGGACGTGCGTCTGTATACTCATCGTCCCTCCGACTATGTGACGTTGGAGATGGTTGATCTTGACGCCTGGAAATTGGTACTGCCCCGCGAATTGCGACGGCAGGCTATTTCTCAGTGCCATGATATTCCCCAAGCAGGCCACTTGGGGGTAGATAAGACCTACCGCCGTCTCTACGAGGCGTATTACTGGCCAAATATGTTTAGAGATATGGTAGCCTTTTTTCGCCACTGCGACATTTGTCAACGCTGTAAGGTTGAACATGCCTTGCCGCGGGGACATATGGGTACGCAAGTAATCCAAGGTCTCTGGACGACCGTGGCAGCCGACATTGTTGGCTCAATGACTCCGAGCAGATCAGAATCATAGATATGTGCTCGGGTTACAAGACCTCTTCACTAAGTGGATTGAGTTAGTCCGCCTCCGGCGAGCCACTGGCGAAGCCATTTAGGAGCAGGTCGAATATCTATTTATTTCACGATGTGGAACCCCACGGGAGCTCTTCACCGATAATGGAACCGAAGTCGTTAATCGGGAGATCCAAGCTCTGGTTTAGCGCACCGGGATGAAGCACGAGACTTCACCCCCTTATCATTCGCAGGCTAATCCAGTCGAGAGGGTCAATCGTGTACTACAGATCCTGTTACGCGCGTTCATAGACAGTGAACACCGAACGTGGGACACCCACCTACACGGATTCCGGTTTGCATATAATACGGCAGAACATAGTTCCATCCAAACGACTCCCGCGTTTGCGAATTTCGGCAGAAATCCTCCCCCGGCTATATCCGTTCGCCGCGAGCTTAAAGGAGACATCGAAATGATCCCCGGCGAACCCAGCGAGTGGGTTGATTGAATGAAGCGGCTGGATACTCTCCGAAAAGCCCTCACTCCCTCCATGCGGGAATCGTCTGACAAACAGGCGCATCATTATAATCTCCGTCGACAAGATGTTGAGTTCAAAGAGGGTGACTTGGTTTTGCGGCGTCACCCCTTATCCAATGTGGCCAACCATTTTTCAGCTGTGTTGGCCCCTCTTTTTGAGGGTCCTTTCATGGTTAATCGAAAGGTCTCCCGAGTTCGATACGAACTTGTGGATTTTTCAGGGAAAGGTCAGGGCGAGTCCGGCATACAGGACTTAAAACCCTACCAACCTCCAGTACCGGCTCCATAACTTTTCTGTTACTGGCTTCCGTGATAAAATTACGGTTCATTATCGCCCCGCAGCGCGGGAGTCGCCAATAATTTCCTCCCTTCTGGGCGGTTCCCCGGACAAGCTCTCCGGTTTTCGCTTCTCTGGTACCGATCAATACAGACACACCAGCTCCACGAGCCGAGGACCTGACGGAGAGCACTCCACTCTCCCCTCCTCCAGGTCAAGAGATTAAGGAGGAGATTGGTCCCATCACCAGCCAACAGCGGGACGCCCGCAGCGCCGAGTTGGCTTCGGAGAGCATACTGTTCCCGGGAGGGATTCCCGTGGAACTGGACGACTTCGCCCTATCGGATGATAGCGAGGAGGACTTCGCCTTTGGTCGCCCCCAGACGGGTAGGTAACTTAGACCAAAGACCAGCCTCCTCAAGGCCTTTTGTCGCCAGCGGGGGTCCTCCTGAGACTACCCCTATCCGGACCACCAGAGGGACCGCAGTCCCACCCTGAAAAGAGGGCTCCAATTTATCTCCAGGATTACTGGAACCCAGTAAGACCTTGGCTCTCCGAGATGCGTGACATTGAGGAGCGACATCCCGGCTTCGCCACGGCCCTACACGCCTGTACGCTGACACCGGCCCATCACCTGTCAGCCGTCAGGTTCATCATCCCTCCCATTCCTCTGGAATCGGTGAGGGGTCAAGTCCCACCTGGAGAGTGTGAGGAGAAATTCCCGGAGAGTACCTCCGTGGTCCGGTCTTCCAAACGAGCTCCGACCCCGCCGGCACCTCCGATTGTAGAGATCGGTTCCAGTTCCTCGAGCTCCCGCACCTCCACGTCATCCAGCGGCAGCAGCTCCTCATCGGACTCCGAGGAGTCTGTCATCTTCTATCCGGAGCCCACACCAGGAGATCCCGGTCGTCCATGAGGCAGGAACGAGGACCATGCGTCATCCCCCGTAACGATGGCTCCGGCAAGCCCGCCGGCATCCAGTGCCCCGAGCATGGGCCCGAATTCATCGACTTCGGCCTGCTCGTGGACCTGTCGCTGCCCAGCACCGTGCTCACAGCAGCGTCACCGCCTCCAACTCCCTCTCACCAGGAGATCGAGTTGGCCCCTACCTGTCCGCTGCTCGCGAACCCAAGGGCAGGCGAGAAAACACCACCTAATCCACCTCTCGAGAACCCCAAGAATGGCGATGACACTCCAGACGTCACACCTCCGGGTCCCGGGCGGCCATTCGCCGGCCTGGCCAACCAACCGGGCAAGCCAGCCCCGGCTCCTAAATCCACCTATAAAACGGCTGAAACATTCCCTCAGCAGGCAGCGAACCCCCAGCCAAGAGGAACAACGCCGAACACCAGCCGCCCCAGTGCTACAACGAAACGGGAAGGAGGACAACCCAGGGGACCAGCCGGAGGCAAACGTCGCAAGCCTCGACACTGGTGTTTCGACTGCCGTCGACATGGCCACGCACACCAGGTATACCCGACTCCAACCGGCGACCTCTTCAGAACACGGCCCAGTGAGGCAACCAGCCGAAGGACGAACGGCAGTTCACTGCAGTAAGCCAGCTGAGACATCTCAGGGGAGGCCGCCGCCACCTGCTTCGGCCACATCCGGCGCTCGCCCGAGCCCGGTCGTCCAATCACCGCCACGCGTTAGGGATCGACGTGCTGAAGAGTACTGGGCTCCCTTCGAGATGAACCCCATCCGTCCGGCCCCTACCGGACTGGCTTATCCATTCCCCAGGGACGAGGAACGCAGACTTCGTCAGTAGGACGAACCTCCAGAAGATTCGGGGCTCCGTTTTTTCTGGCAACCACCAGCGATGGTGCCCACCAGCCACGGCTACAAGTCTGAAGAGCACGGGTATTACACCTCGGCGGCCACAAGTGCCCCAGCCCGACCAGCCCGTGGGCGTGGAGCGAACGCCCGTTTCGGACCTCCTCCATCAAGTCAAGCAACTCGCCGGTCCAGAGAGACCATCCAGGCTCTCCAGAGTATTCTCGACGAAGCCCAGCGCGACCAGGGGCCGAGTCCAAAGCAACGGTACCATCCCCGATAAATCGGCGGCAACATCCCCGATGAATCGGCGGCAACATCCCCGCGCGACGCAGGCACATCTCCGCGAGACGCAAGCACATCCGGAGAAATTCCCGGCAATCCACTCGATCAGCAGGAATAGCAATCCCGTCCTTTTTTTTTCTTGTTCGGTTGGGAAGTTTCCACATATTTTTTTTCTTTTTTTTTATTATTATAGAACGCTTTCCTTTTTGATACGACGTACCTTTTTTGTATTCTTATACATTTTCCTTTTGATAGGGTGCCAATTACACAAGTTTTTTTTTTGGTGATAAGTCTCACGAGTACCTGAGGGCACCGACTGTACCAACCATGTAGGATAAGTTTTTGTTTTGTTTTGTGATAACACGGAGGACTCCGTCCGGTGAGAACACCCCTCAAGCACCAAAAATGTGCTAGAAGCCTCTGGAGAGCTCCCAGTATTTTTTTTTGTTGTTCTGTTTCCCCGTCCACACCTCGGAGGTAGGGTGCTAAATAGTGTGCCTTTATTCCGACCATCACCTCAGGGTGTGGGTTCGGGCTTTTCCCCAACTTTACGTTTGGTGGAGTTTAGGTGTGATACAGATTGTCGGAACCGGGAGGAGATGCAGCCGGACCAAACAAAATCATGAAGGCTGGCCCGGATACGGACCGTCAAAGGAGGGGGGTGTAACGAGTATTGGGGATGCCCGCTAGAATCCCCAATAAAATTAATAAATAGAGAGAGAGTGCGGGAATACAAGTTCAGGTGTCAGTAAAAATAATCAATAATTTCCCCCCTCGGGGTGGGTTAGGGATAAGTTAAATAGGCTGAGGTTAGCGGAGATTATGATTATCCCCCTTCGGGGTGGTTTACGGATTTTTAGGGTTAGGATTTGGGTCAAGCTCGAGTTTAGTTTAGGTCCGGTCAAAAAGCCGGCGCTCCAAATAAAAGGATTCTGGGGGGTTGGTTGGCACGGGTGGAAGGTCGTACGGGGAGTATGAAAAATACCCCTACGGATTGCCAAAGGCTGTTACGGGTGGAAGGCCGTCTGGGATAGAATTAATCATCGTCCCGTCGGAGTGCCAAAAATTTTAGAATTAAGTATCGGTCGAAGGCCGCACGGGGTAAATCCAGCCCTTATCTCGGTGGAGTGCCAATGGATAAATAAATTTACGGGTTATTGAAATAAAATAATACGTTTAAGGTTAGTGATTTACGTCTTCTAACCCCGGGAATCCAGGAGAATCACCAGAAAAAATAATACCGCGGAAGGCGCAAAATTAGATAATAAGAATTAATTCAAATTTGAATTAATTCTCCCGCGAAGGACTTGGCTCATAACAGGGTAGAGGGATCCATCAATCGACACCCGATCGATTGGTTGGCGTGATTAGGGGGATCAGCGTCACGCGACACTGACCTCCCAAAACTAGTTACGCATTAACCGCACGTGAGTGACAAGTGGGGCTCCCAGGACTTGACGAGGAATGACACAGCACACCAGGAGAATTAGGTGCAGCCAGGATGTTGCTGAAGAGAAAAATGAAGGCAGCGAGAAAATCTACACTGAGTTGACGGTTTTATTTAGAAATTTTTCCCTTTTTGGCGGCTCCCCAATAATTGTTGGCGGTTATGAGCTTTTTCCGAGCCAATGGAAATGGCATCGGTGGTGTCCCTCAAATTTTGGGTGGTGGTTTAGAGGTTTGTATAGGGGTTTTTCCGAATAATTTCGGCCTGTGTTATCCCCCAGTGCGGTTGGGAGGTTATTGATGCAATTTTGGGGGGATTCGAACGTATTGTTACGGGGGTTCTTGGTGAAATTGACCAAGGCCGACGAAAAGGCCAGTGGTCCTCCCTCATGGCGCAATCGAGGCAGCCATCGAGCGGCTATGTGCCACAGGTGGGGAATCGCGCATTAAATTTCCTCGTGGTTATCAATTGATCCAACCGGGTTAATTATGTACCCTTATACATAAAATTTTGTGGGATTGTGGGGAATAGTGTTCAGAACAATATTGTTCTGGGTTTTCCGCAATCGTCTCGGCGGATTCCGAGTTATCGAATTTTTAAGAAGAGTTGAATTTACGGTGGTGGATTTCTCCTCGCTGCTAACCGCGCAGTGAGGCATAGTGCCGTCTCTCTCTCTCTACCTCACTCTCGCGCGCCGACTCGTAGAGGGTCCGATTCCGGGAAATTATCGATTTCCCGGGCGAAAATAATATTCCGGTTATTCCTCGGATTATCGCCGATCGATAATCCTTGAGGCTGCATCCCGACGGGGTTACTCTATGTGAATGTGGAATAATCAGCAAAGCATTTCGGATTTTGTTAGATAAATTATTTTTCGCGGCGGTTTAATGGTACAATCGAAATTGTATTTGGGATTTTAGTAGGAAATTCATATTCCGAGATCATGTGAGGGGACAATTTAAATAGGTATTTGGGAATTTTGCTGGAATACTGATACTTAGAGCAAGTCAAAATTGCCAATAAAATTTTGAATAGTGCAGTAAATATGTTTTTTATTGATTGTTATTCTTGTGCTGAATTTTGACGTTAATAGCGGAACACGTAAAGACAATGTGCTTGTTGCATTAATTCATTTCTCACCTCCTTGTCCTTCTTTTGGCATTTAACCCGATTTTTGCGATAACCTCGTCCCTATCTACACTCCATCCCTCTCTCCTCAACTGGCATACTGAGCGACCCCAGGATCGTCACCTTTCCTCAAAAGCCTAATTATCCTTTCCGTTCCCTTCAGGTTTCCTTGTTGATTTTAGAGTATAGCTTTGAGTTAGTGTTTTAGGAGTTTGAGGTACGATTTTCGATGCAACGAATATCGAGGTTAGTTAAGTTTACGATTACAGATCTTTCGAGTTTGGTAATTCCGGTCAAAAATTACCTGGAGCCCATTGATTTAAATTTTAGCAGTTTTTATGAGGTTCAGGGGAAGTAGGGCGAAGGTAATGGGCATTTTCCATTCCGTGTGAAAATCTCACGTTACAAAATAAAATATAAGATATCAATGTTTATCATATGCATACCTTATAAATTACAGACAGTATAATATGTATATTGGATATGTCTTGTATAATATATCTTATAATATCTCTGTTTTTTCAAATAGAAAAATTGCTAACGAACAGAAATGTGTTATAGACCCGAGCGGTTGGGTTCGATGATAGATCACTTGTAGTTAATTAGAAATGAATATCTCTCAGGGAGATTCAACTTTTTAACGATTAAACGATTTATTCAATAATTATAGTCGTTGATTAATGCCGTAAATATCAGGCAATATGAATTTCAAGAAAAGTGACTTAACGAATCATCGGATTACTAATTGTCTGTGTTTGACAACCTGACTAACTGACCCAGTGGCAACGAACTCACGAGCTTATATTTCATCGTGGATTCGATTGCAATAAGTGTTCTATCTTTGTTTTACACCTGGAGAGACATCGGGTGATGTCGCAGGTGTATGTAAAGGCCATAGCCGTTGATGGGGGAAGTGCTGACACTGCACCCCAGTGATCCACATTATGACGAATATATGTGGACTTAAACCACAAATATTCGGGTTAGTTTATATTACAACATTGACATTCTTTGATTCGATTTTACATGTTTTGGATAATATGTGCTACTTCGCGTGTCGTCATATTATCCGGGTCAATGAGAAATTACCTAATACTATTTCGTAATTTAATGGTATTTCTGGGGCATAACATCCCTCCCCGCCAAGGAAGAAAATTTCTACTCTTAGGAATTTTTCTACTTCATCCCCAGACTTTGATTTGATACAATCAACAGATATTTTTTAACATCTCAACTGTCTGTCGTTGTCTTTTTCGGCCAAGGTTTCCGACACCAGCAAAAAAGGGCTAACCCTACGACAACTGCTAATATCACCATTACTCCGGTAAATATTGATGAAGGGTGTGTGAAGAATTCTCGATAGTCAAAGTTCTTCTGCACCGTTTCCAGGTTTTCCTTCTCCGCTTGCAGCTGAACTTGAAGCTCTTCCAGTTCCTTAATATTCTCAACAACGTTCGGTAACTGGATGTCACTTATGCTCCAGTTTTGTTTGTTGAGTCTAGCGATCATGGTGTCATCCAATGTCAAATTTAATTTCGGATGAACATGGGTATTGATGGTTATTTCATGTGTTTTCCGACCTCTGATAGTGAAATCCGAGGCGACTATCTCACAAAAATTATCAACTCTTAAAATCCCCGAATCTTCTAAGACATCTCTAACTTCTTTGTTACCACAGTTTGCTACTATTCCTTCAGGCTCTGGAGCTATGTAAAACCATATGTTGTCTTTCCTCATTTTAATTAGAGTGAGCCCTTGAAGCTTCACGTGCTTCGCTTTACAGGTACAAGGCATTTTGTCTGGACTCATGTACATTTGTACTTCACATGGACCGTTTTTTCCTATTTTTTGGATAGGAAGAGTCTCAGTGCATAGATTGTGACGAGGCACTTTGTTAGCCCCTCCCCCGCCCCCTAATAATGAC